CAACAGCAGCAGCAGCAGCAGCAGCTGCTGCTGCTGCTGGGGCGCTAGGGGCAGCTGTAAGTGCACTTGAGGCGCACTTCGTCTTCGCCGTGGGCGTGTCTGCATGCAGCCCCAGCCCTGCAGAAGCCGTTAAGCCAAAAGAAACATAAACTGGTTTTGTAGCAGTCTGCTGTTGAACGCAGCTCCCGCAGCGCATGCGCGAACTTGCAGCGGTGAGAGGCCCTGCACCACAAACCCTAAACCCTAAACCCTAAACCCTAAACCCTAAACCCCAAACCCGGGCCCAACTGGCCGGACGCGGACTTGCTGCGGCGAGAGATCGACTTAACCCTAAACCCTAAACCCTTGAAAGCACACGCTTCGCAGCAGCCAGTGAGCAGCCACAGACCGGAAGCATCGACCTAAACCCCAAACCCTAAACCCTAAACCCCAAACCCTCGAACTCACAGCCGGCAGAGCCCACTCTTGTACAACTGACACATCCGAGTCTTAAATAATGGGTTTGGCGGGTGGGCCCCCTGGGGCCCCTGGGGTACCCCCTGGGGCCCCTGAACATTTTGCACTCCGTGGGGCCTCGGGCTGGGCCTCGCGCGAGGGCGGGCCAGTTGCTGCTGCTGCAGCTGCTGCTGCTGCTGCTGCTGCTGCTGGGAATGCTGCTGCTGCTTGTGCTTCTGCTTCTGCTGCAGCTGCTGGTGTGCCTGCTCCTCGTCCTGCTGCTGCCCTTCTTCCTCCTCCCCTTTCTGCTGCTGCTGCTGCTGCTGCTGCTGCTCAGTTGACCAAGCAGCATCAGCTTCTGCAAGTTCCCCCTGTGTCAACTCTGCGGCCTCTTCCCCCTGAAGCTCTTCAGGAGGGGGCCCCCCAGCCAGTTCGGCTTCTGTGGGCCCCTGCTGCTCCCCGCCCTCTGCTGCAGCAGCAGCAGCAGCAGCTGCTGCTGCTGCTGCTGCGTGCGCGGTGGCCTCTGGGGCCGGGAGGGTCACCTGGGGCCCCTTGAGCGCGGGCCTTCCCCTCCTTCTGCAGCAGGCCAGCCGCGCTGAGGGGGCCCCCAGGGGGCCCGCATTGTCAGCAAAAAGTTTGTCGGGTTTTCTTACATCTTCTATGTCGCTGCTGCCCCCCAAACAAAACCCTAAACCCTCGCGCCCCCCAGCCCCACAGGCGACGGGGGCCCCCCACTGGCAGCGCTCCAGGAAGCATTCGCTGGGGCCCCGGGGCCCCCGAGCAGCAGCAGCAGCAGCAGCAGCTGCTGCTGCTGCTGCTGCTGCTGCAGGAGCACCCACAGCAACAGCCTCT